TGTATACAACAAATAAACCAACCGTACTAATAAAATTATATTAATGTTATTTAAGTAATCATAGAACATGGTAGGTTTACTTGTTGTATATAAAAGGTTTGGCTCCACTATGGAGCCAACCGTTGATTCAATAGCAAAATCGTGATCGACCTATAGATGATTACTGTGTAGGCCCCGCTGCCACATGTACGCCACCTAAGGTATATCCTATCCATGTCATTTGAAGTAAACGTTACTTTACGGGGATAATTTTCATTATCCTATCATATCAAGCAAAGTAAATGAGGCTAAAGAAAAAGAAAAGCTCTTTGTTTATGGGTATAAAGAAAAGAAGAGGCTTAAAGGATGATTAGTCATAGTTGAAATAGATTTTGATATCCAAGGCTGGTTATGACCAGGAACCAAACCGATCAGTCGATTCAGCCCAAACCCGACTTGAAATCAGGCTTGTGGTTTCACCGTGCCGGTTCATGTTCACAAATATATATATATATATATATATATATATAGTTGAGTTCAAATGAGAATAATGCTCAAAATAAGAATAAATCGTAGGCATTAGATCGGATGATCTAATGACTAAAAAAATCAAAGTTATATCTTCATTAAGGGTAGGATTGCCCTCGTAAAAGCACCGGTCATCGTGTGTTAAGCTAGCGTAAAAAAGTATCAATTATTTTAGATATTACCATTACACATTGCCACCACATCAGCATGCCACGTCACTACACATACGCCTAACACACACATTAAGCACTCAACACACACACAAACACACGCACACACACGTTGCACACACACCTCCCTCTTTTATACACACACATACACACACAAGGTTAGAGAACGTCCACACTCACACAGCGCTACCACACCCACCGGTCACTCCACACAGCACCGTCGCACCCACCGAGCCAGCTGCTGTCGCCGCTCCCTGACGGCCGAAAACGCCAGTGCCATCGCTGCCCTTTTTTCATCCACCGGCCCCCGCCGCTCAAATCCTACGAGAATGTCGTCTCCTCCGGCGAGACACACATCGACGCCTACACCTGGCGGTCGGAGACCTTCTACCACACGATGCAAGCAGACCTTCTACCACACGACGGTCTGTCGCCAGCCACAGCTGGCCTCCGCCACTGCCACCGCGATCATCACTCTGTCTGAACCTCCTCTACCGCAAACCAGCAGCAGTCGGAGGCCAAGGATCAACCAGAAAAAAAAAAAAAAAAATCCCAGGCCAAGCGAGGTTTGTTTCACGCATTATTCCAGTGGGCAATACACGCGGTGGAGATAAATGGGACGTCGACAGTGATTGCTAAAATAGATTGCTACAGACGAGCCAGAGCCAGTCCGATGTTGGCGAATTATGGAAGTGTGCAACGAGAATTTGCAAATTATGAGTAGGATTTTGGTTTTTTGTTTTTTTAAATTATATAATTTTGAGGGGACTATTTACAAATCTATTAATTTTGATTATTTTCAATTTAGTTCATAGGCAAATCTATAATTTTTAAAAATATATTTAAAATGTTATCTTTTATATATTTTTTATACATATTTAAATATTATATTCTTTAAGCAAAACTAATATATAAATATATAAAATGATAAAATACTAAGTATGCTTTTATAATAATAAGAAAATAAAATATTTTAGTTATTTAGCTTAATGTAATGTATAATTATATATACTATACATATTTTCCAAATACACTTAATTATCACGGATAAAATAAAGTAGCTCATTTTATACATTAGCACGATGTACTTTATAAAAATACACGTTGCACTTTATAAACAACACATTGCACTTTATACAATCCACAATTAACGTCGATTGTTTCTGCCCAAATACCATACATCATAAATTTAAAAAATGTATCTACATAATAACTTAACATCCATCACATCATTCGTACAAATAAAGTGCAAGCATGCTAGCGTATCTAAATTACAGCAGTGCACTTTATATATCAACATGTTGCACTCTATTAAACAAAACATTGCACTTCATAAAATAACACGTTGCATTTTATCACGTCACTCCACAACTAATGTCGATAACTACCATCAAAATACCACATGACATACATCTAAAAGAATAGATCGACATAATATTTTAACATATTTTGTTGCATATATATTTTAGGTATTTTCAACAAATTTATATATATATGTAATGCTAATATAAATAAAAAATTATTATAATTATTTATGGTGTTTTGATTAACTGACAAAAAAAATCAATTATGTCGATTCATTATTAGTTTGATTCGGTGTGAATCCTAAAAAAATGAATGCACTGTAAGTGCACAATAGTATTAGAAAAGTTGCACATTAATGACTATCAAATTACGTAATAGCTACTGAAACAAAAGGAATTAAATTTTTATTTGAAATTTTATATTGTAGTATTATTTTAGTTTGGTGACTGCTCTATTTTTAAAATAACCGAAATAACTGAAACGACCGAATAATAAGAAAGATATTATTAATATTTTATATACTTTTATGTATTGCGAGTGCACATTAAGGTTTTACGAATTGCACATTACTAACTATTGAATTGCGCAATATCGAATGGTTTCGACCAAACTAATAATTTTAATTCAAATTTTTAAATCTTAGTTCAAATGCCATTTTTTTAGTTTTAAAAACTTGGTTATGCTGGTTTGATGTAGGATTTTTTTATTTTTATAACCTAACAACCGAACTATATAAAAACAAATTAATAATGTTATGGAACCACATTGTTGCGAGTCTTCGGTTATGCCGGAGTCTGGTCTCTGGTCTCTCCTTGCGGGCTGGGTGGTTAGGCGGTTGGTTCGGGCTGGGTTCGTCCTTTCGGGCAGGGTTGGAGCGGCTGAGCGTTGTCGCCGATCGTCCCCTTCCTCCTCATTTCTCCGTTCCTGAGATCGTGGGAGGCCGATTGTTCCCGGTTCTGGCTAGTGGTGATAGGCAAGATCAGGGCGGTGTAGGATTGACTAGTGGTGTTAGTCGGTTGGGGGTGATTGTGGTGACTTGCGGTAGTTGCGCGGGTCGGTTCTTTTGGATTGTACTGACGTTTGGGTCATCGTCTTGCTAGTCCTTATGCAGTAGGGGGCGGGATAACTGAGCTTCGAAGCTCTCCTCGGAATCGGCTTTGTCTGCTGTCTTTCGGTTGTTTCTGCTGAGAGAGGCCGCGTTGTTTTTTAGTTAGTAGATTTTCTTTTTGTGTTTAGCTTGTTTGCTCTCGTTTTGTGTTGTCTGTGTTTTAGGTTTGGATCGTTGGCCTGGGATCCGACACTCGAGTATTATCCTGTTGGGGTCTTCGTGTTATTATTTTGTGTTTTTTAGTGTTCCCAATTATTACCCTGTTGGGGTCGGTTCTAGGCGGTCTTTTGACCTGTTCTCCCACTTTTTTAGCTATTGGTTGTATGTATTCAGCTGTTGGCTGATTGTATTCAGCTGGTGGATGCTCTTTACACATTTGTTATATAAAATCTCTATCGTTCAAAAAAAAAAAAGAACCACATTGTATTCAAATTGAATTTTTGAATAAAACTTTTAAAATGACATTTATTTTGAAATGAAATAATGTAACATGTTATCAGTTATGTACACCGTACGAGTTGTGTACTAATTTTAAATAGACATATTTTATATAATTAGCACAATTTAAATTTAATTTAACATTTTAAATAAATTAATATAGAGGGCGTATTACATATTGATTTTATATTATCTAATTTATAAATATTATTTAGTGAGAATTTTTAATATATAAATATTAATGAATATCTATTACATGTGTATCGCATTAGATTCATGCTAGATAGTTTTTAATGAGTTTACAAAGCTGATAACTATACTGGAATAGGATAGTACTAGTGTTGTATTTACCTAATACATATGTACTTTCATTTAGTACCGACTTATATGAACGAAAAATGAATATATAATGTAAATATTTGTTAGAAAAATGATACCTATAATGTAGTAGGACAATATTAATGTTGTTGTAACTTCTTACCTATATATTGTGTGGAAGGAAAGAGAAAAAAATAAAAAAAAAAATAAAGAAGAACTAGTAGTAGGAGATGATTAAGAAAAAAAAATGTGTGGAAGCAGAGAGAAAGAAAAATAAAAAAAATAAAAAAAGTTAGCAGTAGAGAGAGCGAAAAAATAATAAATAATAAGAAGAATTGGTTGGTAGTGGGGATGAAGTCATTTGTTAATTTATTTTGATTTATTTTAACAAGAGAGAGTTAAAATGAAAGTTGATTTAGGGGTAGATAGTGTAGTAAGAAAAATGTATGCAAGCGGACTGAATGAGAATTTGAAAGTAGCTTTAGGGATTTTAGTGGAAGTCACCCTTATTATATATTATGAAATAAAAAATAAATGATAAATAATACTTGATTTATCTATGGTTCGGAAAATCGGACTGAACAGACCAATTAAACCAGTTGGACCAGGAATCGGCCTTCATTTCGGTACGAGCCATCAAACCGCCGAGCATGAGAACCGATTGAACCGGTCCAAAACCAGTTGAACAGTTGAACCGGGACCGATTCGAATGACTCACCGATTCAAGCTAATAAATTTGAAATTGGTTGATTGTGAAGTGATTTAAATAACATACTTTTTTTTACTTGTGTTTCTTAATTGGATATGTCTAGTTGCTGAAATTATTGAGTCAATATTGAGCCTAACAAACAAAATTTTACTCATTCGAAAAATATATTTTTTTAAGTGGACTATCTGTTGGACTATACCTATTCTTAATTTACTTTTATAAAAAGAAGCAATTTATTGTTGTTTGTTATGCACATTATTTTATTTATTAATTAATAATAAAAAAATTTAAAATGTGATTTAAAATAAAAATTTGGTTGTTTCCATTATCTCTATCTTGTAACTTAAATATACATTAAAATTTTAAATATAAAAATAAAATAAAGTTAACAACATTATTCGACATTGTCGGTTGTATATAATATTGAGCTATTATTTAGAGAAATATTATACACTGTAAAATTAATGATAAAAATATATATAATGATGTATTATACACATAAAATAAATAAAAAATTATTTATTAATTAAATCAGTTCGACCGTTGGTCTGAACCATTGAACAAGTAGCTTCACCTATTCGATGAGTCGTTCCAGAACCTCGATTTAATCTAAAATATATTTGCAATTACGAAAAGAAAACGAAAATGAAAAAAATCTAGAGACATTTTGGAAACAAAAATCTTACAATTACGTAAACGGCGCCACTACTGTGTCTTTGTCGATATTTCACCGCCATCATTTGTTTGATTGATGGTCGAAATCGTGAACGGCTGAGGACGGGCCAAAAGGGATGACGTCATTTTGTGCACCTCCGCATTTCCACTGCTCCAGACCTCTGAGCCTCCGCTTTCGAGCCTCCGCGGCCGACGTACCGGATTTCTTCTCCGCCGACTGGTATCTCGCGCTTTTGTTGTCTAAAATCTGAAGTAATTTTCTGTTTTTCACCATTGATTTGTTCTTTTCCTCAACTTAAATTTCTCGAATTGATTGTTCTTGTTCAGGATGAAATTGTTCGTGACTGGCAATTGGTGGTTTCAAATGCTATTAATGAGTATTTTTGTTTCTCTTTCGTTGAAATTAGGTTTTTCGATCCTGTAGCCCTCGTGATTAAGATATTTATTCTTTTTAATGTAATCAGCAGTTGAAGTTATCGGAACATTTAATTATTGGAAGATTGATTTTGTGGTGAAGGATATTTTTACAGATCCTTTTTTTCTCCATCTTTGTTCTTCTTGTCAAGATCAGGGAAAAAAATGGGTGGTTTTACTGACGTAACAAGCCATGTTTGTTAGATTTTTCGAGCATGCTTTGTAATTATGTAAATCTACTCCAAATTGAGCTATATCAATGTTCTGTTCTTTCCGACCCAAATTTGTTGTAAGTTTATTTCAGTGTCGATTTTGTAGGCTTGAGTCCCGCAAGAAGAGACCTTCTGGTCCAAGACTGAATGTAAGTCTCAAGTAAAAAGGTTGTCTAATACATAAATTTCCATCTTTTTCTTTCTTTCTTTGATGTAATTATTCTCCCTTTTGTTATTTATAGTTTAGTGCTGAGGAAGCTGTTAGATACCAACTTGATGCATTGATGTTGAATGACCAACCCCGGCCTGATTATGGCATTGAAGTCATGTATAGGGTAATTTTACAGTCTTCATTTCGGTGTCGATTGTGTATTTTTTTGATTAGATGCTTTCGACTTGTCATATAGTCAACATAATGTTACGTTGTAAAAAGTTTGCAGGATTTGATCCTTTTGAAAGATCCACCTATTTTGGTCCCTTCTTTGATTTAGGTCAGGTCAGTGGAATGATATTCTTTTTTTATTCTTTATCGTTATTTCTTGGTTAACTCGTGGTTTGTAATTGAGAAGGTGTTCTTAGTGGAGTATTTATTTTAAAGATGCATCTGTGTTTTGTAAATGTAAGTTGCAATCCTATTTGCTGACTGATTATGTGTCAGTTTGAAAGATTTCGGCGAATCTTTCACCACTCTAGCTACAGAGTTTTACTTGGTCATCGGGAAAGAAAGATCCTGAGCAGTTTAAATGTTAAGGAGGTTAGTTGGTTCGACATTTTAGTATGACACCATGCATTTTTTTGTGTGTGTGACTGAGTGAGTGAGTGAATGAGTGTGTGTGGTTGTTTCTCATCGTGATCTGCATTTCGAAAACAGGATTGCTATAAGCAACGTGTGTGGGTACGAGGGGCTCGACCTGAGGAAGAAGAAGTATTTCAGTTTACCATGATCCAGGTCTGTGTAATACCATAGCTCCTCTACTTTCAGTTCAAATCCAGTTCTTTCTTTCTTTTCTTTCTTTTTATTATTATTATTATTTTTTTTAAATTTTGGTGAAAGTCAATAGAAGCTGAAAATTGCTGTGAAATGAGTGTATCCAAGTCTCAGAAATTCTAAGTCAGTACTTTTGATCATGTAGGCAGTAAATCAACAAATACCGAGAGTTTTTATTACTTGAAAACTGGAATGCGGTGCCTTTCTTTTCCGACGGTAATTAATTAATTTTACTGAATTGTAGAGAGTTGGTGGTTCTTGGGATGGTTATTGGCTGACAGAATCGCTTCTTCACGATGGAGATAGCTTTTCTGGTGGAGTCGTATACTGATACACGAAACGCCATTCGTAAGTTTTAGACTTGTTATAGGTAGCTGTGGATGTGTATAATTCAAGAGTTACTATTAATGAATAGCTTGTATAATGTGGAAATAGTAATCAAGAGTTGCAAAGATTACTAATTTGTGTACAGATTTGATAATTTCATTCACAATCCACACTTTGGTATATAGAAACTGAAATTGAACTAGTGAAAAAAAAAACAGTTGTTGTAGATGAATAAGCTAAATAAGCTCTGTGATTACTACTTGTCTACGAGTTTATGTTGGTACTGTTTATATCATGACTACATATTTTATATTTAATTATTTGTTTATATATTAATGTAAATAATTTTATGATAATCGTATTATGATAAAGTATGTTGATGTCCTTATAAGTAATTTTACATGTTAACAACTAATTAAAAATAGGTAAACATGTGTATTAAATTACACATCCACTTACGTGGAGCCATCGGGTTGTTTTTCTATGGAGCCATCGGGTTTTTCATGGAGCTATCGGGTTGTTTTTCTTACGGAGCCATCCGCCTACGTGGCTCTTACGTGGCAAACATGTGTATTAAAATACACCACATGTGTTATTTTTTATTTTAAATAAAAAAAAAAACAAAAATAAAACGGAAACAGATCTGCTTTTGGAACCAGACGAGTTCGCCTGCGATTTGTTCCGAAATACTTCTCAGTTTCGTCGTCACCTCAACACCGTGCGTACAATTGATTCAAAATCTTCCTCATCTTCTTAGCTTCTGTTTGATTATGAAGGGGATTAGGATTTTCCTGTTTCAATTTTGGTAAATTTCTAGGGATTGAGGAAGGTTATGCTCAATCGATAGGATTCTCCAATGAGTGCTTTCAGAGGGGCGAGAAGAAGCTCCTCTGCGACATCCACCGCCAGAAGGTCACCGCGCCTCTGTCCGCTGCGACGACCGGTTGGTGTTCTCCTCTCCAATTCACCGACGACGGGGCGGGAATTAGGCGGCGGCACGGTGGAGATGTTGGGATGAACTAAAAAACATTACATAATTTCTTTTACTTGATTTGATTAAAAAAGGGTTACCTTATTGTTAGGAAAAGAGGTCGGATAAGATGGAATAATAACAACACACTAATGTGAAATCAATAAAAGACACGAATATTTGTTAACCCAGTTCGGATTAAATCCTACGTCTGGGGGCGAACCAAGCCAGGAGAATGAACTAGAATAAGAGGATAAATCGAATGTTACAACTCACACAAGCCCGTATGAATACACTCTTCTCTACTCTTTTCTCTCTCTCTCTCTCTCTCTCTTTGTTATGTTTTTCTTGGTTGTATATTTGTTCATCACAATTGCTAGCTATTTATAGAAGAAGAAGAACACATTTTTTTCCACATTTGTGTACTATTAATGTGAACAAATGAGCATCCTAGCTGCTGCACAATTTCAAGACTTGTGGGCTGCCTTTTTCTTCTTCTTTGGTGTGCTGTCAAAGAAATGGAGCTGCAACCTCCACTATTGACTTAACAATAATACTTTGTATAAGATGTCTAGAAGTCTTACTTC